GGAGAGAAACCTGCAGCGAAGTGTGCAGCAAAGGATGAAAACCCACTTACCAGTGTCAGAGGCAGAGGACACAGCAGCCATCTTGTGTGTAGAACCTCTGGCTTCCTCCTCCTCAGCCCCCCTCCTCCTTCTCCTTCTCGCCTCCACGGTGGATTCGTCTTCTAGGCTATAGCCTCTTCAGAAAGCGACGGATCCTGTATGGCGTGCGAAAGGCTGGCAGCTCAAATGCTTCTTTGCTCTCTCTTTCACTCTAACCCTCATTCTACTGCAGTATAGCTCACTCTACCCTCTGTTCCCTGTGTCTACCCCTGCCTCCCTTTCTCTCCTCATACCTCCTCTGCCATTCAACCTCTCTCCCCCCCCCCCCCCCCCCCCCCCCCCCTCTTTTTTTTTATCTATTATCCCTCCACACCCCCTCACCCCACTATGGCTCTTTACCGTCCTTCCCTCTGTAGCTTCTCTCCCCGCTCCGTCTTTTGTCTTATTTATCTGTCCAAGGAGAGGGGACAGACTGTGCAATGCAGGAGACAGGAAGCCAAATCCACCCCTGCAGCAGCAGCTCCACAAAGATGTCTCGTCATTTTTTCAGGCAAAAACAGAGGAAGCTGTTCCTCCCACTTGCTCGTATCACACAGCAGCAGCAGCAGCAGCAGCAGCAGCAGCGTGGCACTGTATGCAGACTGCAGTCAGGAGGACAGATAGAAAGATGGATAGACAGAGAGAGAGAGAAAAGGAGAGAGAGAGAGGGATTAAGAGAGAGAGAGAGAAAGGGAGAGAGAGGGAGCACTCTGTTCTCTCTTTACAGCTGGATGTATTCCCCAGCTGCTGCATCATGCACAAACACAACTATTTATATGATGCCCGCAGATGTAGAAACACTGCGAGGCAGGGAGGGGATGTATGCTGCATGAATACATTTAAATATTGATGTATAAGACATGCAACCTTACATAATACATGAAAGCTCCCATAAATAGCAGATGACTGTAAGACCGTTATCTAATTGCATTGAATTCAATGCACTGTCACCTTAGTATGAGTCATTTCTGAAGGATGCTCTGAAAAATGAAATGAATGAGCTCATGCTTGGCTCCTTAACAGCTTAATTATGCACGCTACATTGTGAGATACATTCACGGACCCACGCGAAATGGTGTAGAAAAGACGGTTAAAAAAAACCATTAGTTGTATGTAGTTATAAGACAGTAATAACCATGATGATACATTTTGTAACGGGTGCTGACGCAACGTTACTTGCACACGTTTTTTTTTTTTTTTTACTCTGTTCCGTCGCAGCTGTTTTAAACAAAAACAATTGAAGAGTAATTAGCCGATGACCTCAGTCGAGCCTCCCCGTGACAAGTGCCGCACGCAGACCTCACGCCGTACGCCGACTCGTAGTGTCGTAAAAGAAACGCTCCTCCCCGTCCATGTGATGCTACAAGCTCCGAAGGCGGCGCGGCTACTTGCGGAAGCTAGCGTGTGTAGGTGAAGTTGCGGGACAGACTTTTGTGTTTTTAGCGAAAACCAAGTCGTCTCACAAACATGGAGGAAGCTGAGGAGTTCATGAAGTACCGTTCCCCGCTGGTGTCGAGGTATGCCAGCAAGGAAATGGCCTACAACTTCAGTGACAGGAAGAAGTTCACAACCTGGAGGAAGCTGTGGATCTACCTGGCCAAGGCTGAGAAGGTTTGACACATTGTAGCTTGCAGAATAGCAACCGTAACCTGCGTCCCTGCAAGCGGTTTGTGTATATATGCACTATTCTTCATGCTTTATGAACTTAGGGTTCTCTGAAGGTCGCAGACTTATCAAGTTCCCTCCCCTAAATATAGCTTTGAGGACCCCCCCCCTCTTTAAGAGCTCCCTGCGGGGTTGTCATGTCCTGAGCCAAGCAGAGTTGTGTGTACTCCATGTAGCATACAATGAGAAGAATAACAAACGGAGGGGAATCATTTATCATAATTCAAGTCTTTTCAATTGTATTAGGTTTGATTTACACAGAAACCACGTGTAAATAAATATATTGTTTAATCTGATTTATAGACATAATTCAAATTTCCTTTTTTATTAATACATTTTAACAAATGAAAGTTAAATTTTGTTATGAAAATAGAACGATCAGTTACAGATGCAAACATATATTCCAGGACACCAAATACTGTGCCTGTGTTCTTTACTTTGATAACCAGAGACAGAAAGCCCCTCACTGTCAGACAGTATAAAGTATCCCACCTAGAATATATAGGTTCATCATCAGTACATTTGCACACTCAAACCCAATACTCTGAATACATTTGGATTCTTTGGAAACTTGTTGTCTTTTCAAAATGTTGAATAAATGAACGTGGGTTTGAACAATGCTTGGTATCACAGAGTGAGTCTGTACTGATGACGTCAGGGCTTATTAGAAAGTACCTGCCGAAAAACATCTCGACATTTAGCTCCCAAACCAGACGGCGCATGTGATCCCCTTTAAGGTCCCTGAGCTCATGTTTAGCATGTCAGCAATCAAGGTTTATCCAAAAGACCCAAGGTAAATTTAACCAACCATTATATGCTGGTGATTTGAAAATGCATATTAACATAATTCTGTGGGCATCACAAATACTCAAACACTAACTCTGCCGAGCTTATAATTCCTCAGAGTGAATTCTGCATTTGTCATATCAAAAAGGGAGGATGAGGGAGGGGTTAACTGGTGACAGACCCTCTCTCGCATGCATCACCTCACATGACCACTCACTAATTAGGACTGATCAGTGTTTTTGAGATGCTCTTCAGGGCGTTTAGCTTTGCCACAGTTTTGCCTGTGCAGAGTTAGCGAGGCCTGTGGCTGCCGCTGTGTGGCCTGTGAGTGAAAATAGCATGCAGTGAATGTCACAGTAACAGGAGTCCGCCTCCCCGAGGGGGGCTGCATGTTAATAGTCCAACAGCCTAACCACCGCAGCCTTTTGTCGTCGTGTTTTTGTCATTTTGTTATGCTGGCTCACTGTTTGCTTTTGACCTGGTACAGCAGGGTTTGGAGTTGTAACATAGAGGGAAAGATGTACTTTCAGGGGTTTGGGCTCAATTTCTCAATAAACCCATTCTGTAGTCCCATCACATGACTACTCAATCACTAGTGAAACCCCCCCCTCTCTCAATCTAATCTAATCAGGATCTCACGAGGACAGCACATGCCTGTCAAGACTGTAGAAAAGAACATCTGTCTCCTGTTCAAACATCTTAAAGTGACATGATCTTTTTTTTTTTTTTTTTATATATCATAAAATAATGAGAAAATAAATTTAAGTAACAGGGCTAATATATTCCATTCTCTAAATGGATAGATAGCAAAGTCCTCCTTTTTTTCACCGTGTCTGTGTTTCCCTCCTCTCCCGTCTCCCTCGTTCTCCTCCTTCAGGCTTTGGGTCTTCCCATCACGGACGCCCAGATTCTGGAGATGGAGAGCCACGAATTGGACATTGACTTCGCCATGGCGGCCGAGGAGGAGCGTAAGCTCAGGCACGACGTCATGGCCCACGTCCACACCTTCGCACACTGCTGCCCCGCTGCCGCCCCCATCATCCACCTCGGTGCCACCTCCTGCTACGTGGGAGACAATACTGTAATTATGATGCACTGCTTTTCCATCGATTACCTGTAACAATCTCCTATTTTCTCTCCCACTGATCTCGTAATGATGAAACGACTTCAACAAGGATCAGTTGCTATGTGGCCTTGAAAAAAAGAAAATTGCCATATATAAAATATAGCACTGCATTGGGATTAAGCGAGTAGTTCTTTTGTTCCCTAAGTGGTTCTGTGTTTCCTCCTTAGGATCTGATTATGCTGCGTGATGGGTTTGACATTCTCTTGCCTAAGGTGAGGCTCAGCTGTTTGCCAGAAAACACACACACATTCAGTTGTGCATCTAATTGTGATATGCCTCAGCTGTTCAGTAACGAGTCAACAATGTAGAAATAATCACCGCAGTAAAGGGCCTGAGTAACATCAGTGTGTTACGCAATAATTCGCCACTAAAACCCTTTTTCTCCACAGCTGGCCAGAGTCATTGACAGACTGGCAAACTTTGCAGAGAAATACGCTGACCTCCCCACGCTCGGCTTCACACACTACCAGTGAGTCTCTCGGGTCGTCCCGTCAGACGCGTCCCGTTTGCAATGTTGTCCCTTGGCTGTAATTTCTCTGAGCAAGAACACGCAGCGTTTACATATCTCCTTCCTCCTCTTCTTCCTCTGCCTGCAGGCCTGCCCAGCTGACCACGGTAGGAAAGCGAGCGTGTCTCTGGCTGCAGGACTTGGCCATGGACATGCGGAACCTGCAGCGACCCCGCGATGACCTGCGTTTCCGGGGAGTCAAGGGGACCACCGGCACCCAGGCCAGCTTCCTGCAGCTCTTTCAGGGCGACCATGACAAGGTATACATCGTCACTGAATCGCATGTGGATAATGATGGAAGATTTATAATTCAGAAAACGTTTTTTTTGTGATGGATTATAAATGTAATATTTTCCTTCATCAGGTGGAAGATCTTGACAGAATGGTGACAGAGATGGCTGGCTTCAAAAAGTAAGTTCTCTAGTAAAATAAAATACATTTACAATCCCCCGCCTCTAATATTGAGTCCTTTCTGTTCTCTCAGGGATGTGATTATTATGACACAAGACCAGCAGACATGGATATGACATACAGTCATTGTGTAAATATGGTTGGTGTTATGCGTTATGAGCCCTGATGGTGTTGTTCCCGTGCTACACAGAGCCTACCTGGTAACGGGACAGACTTACAGCCGTAAGGTGGACGTGGACTGTCTGTCCAGCCTGGCTAGTTTGGGAGCTACTGTTCACAAGGTAAGCTGCAGGATCCGGAGAGACACGTAGAGAAACGTGGTGATTAACGGAAATCTGCATGCACTCTTATAGACTTGCTCTTTTCTACCTAACTTAGTATGAATTTGACATGAGGGATGCACCAAGCAGACTTTTTTTAGTCTCAATACCGATACCTGGGCTTTGGAGAAATGATCCGATACCAGTGTTTAATCAAAAAGCTGTGTGGAAGTGACTGGGATCAACTTTTAATGCATAAGGCAACATGAAGAATACATAGATATGGATGTGCTGAATTGATCTTTATTAAAACGATAGTGTCTGATACCAGATTGGCCCATTGTCACCAACAACTGATTCCAGATTTCAATCCGTATCTGACCGATATTAGTATCGGTGCGTCTCATCCTCCATCCGTCTGTCTGCTGCAGGTCTGTACAGACATCCGCCTGCTCGCCAACTTGAAGGAGATCGAGGAGCCTTTTGAGAAAGACCAGATTGGTACAGTCGCTCATTACTCGCCTCACACCGGTCACATTCTCGCGCATTGTCCTGTAATGCAGTCAACATGTCTCCCTCCTCCTCCAGGCTCCAGCGCCATGCCCTACAAGAGGAACCCCATGCGTGCAGAGCGTTGCTGCAGCTTGGCCCGACACCTGGTGGCGCTGTTGGCCGACCCGCTGCAGACCGCGTCGGTCCAGTGGCTGGAGAGGACGCTGGACGACAGCGCCAACAGGTCGACAACCCCAGACACACTTATGCACTGAGATAGACTGATATGCTTATGTGGCAACCCACAGTGTTACTGAATCAGGGAAGGGTATCTCTGATTTGGTCCTGGATCATTCAGAGGCTTCTCTCTCTTGCCTCCTCTACATACACTGCTCAAAAAAATAAAGGGAACACTTAAGCAACATATCCTAGATCTGAATGAATGAAATAGTCTTATTAAATACTTTGTTCTTTACATAGTTGAATGTGCTGACAACAAAATCACACAAAAATTATCAATGAAAATGAAATTTATTAACCCATGGAGGTCTGGATTTGGAGTCACACTCAAAATTGAAGTGGAAAAACACTACAGGCTGATCCAACTTTGATGTAATGTCCTTAAAACAAGTCCAAATGAGGCTCAGTAGTGTGTGTGGCCTCCACATGCCTGTATGACCTCCCTACAACGCCTGGGCATGCTGGGCATGTGGCGGATGGTCTCCTGAGGGATCTCCTCCCAGACCTGGACTAAAGCATCCGCCAACTCCTGGACAGTCTGTGGTGCAACGTGGCGTTGGTGGATGGACCGAGACATGATGTCCCAGATGTGCTCAATTGGATTCAGGTCTGGGGAACGGGCGGGCCAGTCCATAGCATCAATGCCTTCGTCTTGTAGGAACTGCTGACACACTCCAGCCACATGAGGTCTAGCATTGTCTTGCATTAGGAGGAACCCAGGGCCAACCGCACCGGCATATGGTCTCACAAGGGGTCTGAGGATCTCATCTCGGTACCTAATGGCAGTCAGGCTACCTCTGGCGAGCACATGGAGGGCTGTGTGGCCCTCCAAAGAAATGCCACCCCACACCATTACTGACCCACCGCCAAACCGGTCATGCTGGAGGATGTTGCAGGCAGCAGAACGTTCTCCACGGCGTCTCCAGACTCTGTCACATGTGCTCAGTGGAACCTGCTTTCATCTGTGAAGAGCACAGGGCGCCAGTGGCGAAGTTGCCAATCTTGGTGTTCTCTGGCAAATGCCAAACATCCTGCCCGGTGTTGGGCTGTAAGCACAACCCCCACCTGTGGAGGTCGGGCCCTCATACCACCCTCATGGAGTCTGTTTCTGACCGTTTGAGCAGACACATGCACATTTGTGGCCTGCTGGAAGTCATTTTACAGGGCTCTGGCAGTGCTCCTGCTGTTCCTCCTTGCACAAAGGTGGAGGTAGCGGTCCTGCTGCTGGGTTGTTGCCCTCCTACGGCCTCCTCCACGTCTCCTGATGTACTGGCCTGTCTCCTGGTAGCGCCTCCATGCTCTGGACACTACGCTGACAGACACCACAAACCTTCTTGCCACAGCTCGCATTGATGTGCCATCCTGGATGAGCTGCACTACCTGAGCCACTTGTGTGGGTTGTAGACTCCGTCTCATGCTACCACTAGAGTGAAAGCACCGCCAGCATTCAAAAGTGACCAAAACTTCAGCCAGAAAGCATAGGAACTGAGAAGTGGTCTGTGGTCACCACCTGCAGAACCACTCCTTTATTGGGGGTGTCTGTCTTGCTAATTGCCTATAATTTCCACCTGTTGTCTATTCCATTTGCACAACAGCATGTGAAATTGATTGTCAGTGTTGCTTCCTAAGTGGGCAGTTTGATTTCACAGAAGTGTGATTGACTTGGAGTTACATTGTGTTGTTTAAGTGTTCCCTTTATTTTTTTGAGCAGTGTATTTACTCATCTCACCCCCTCGCTCGTGTGCAGGAGGATCTCCCTGCCCGAGTCCTTCCTGACAGCTGACATCATCCTCAGCACCCTGCAGAACATCACAGAGGGACTGGTGGTCTACCCCAAAGTCATCGAGAGACACATCCGCCACGAGCTGCCTTTCATGGCCACAGAGAACATCATTATGGCCATGGTGAAGGCTGGAGGAAACCGACAGGTATTTTGTTTATAGGTTCAGTAAGTTTGTAATCCTTCATGTGATAAACTTTAGCTCTTTAAATATCATCTGTCTACATGCTTCAGGACTGCCACGAGAAGATTCGTGTTCTGTCCCAGGAGGCAGCAGCCGTGGTCAAGCAGGAGGGTGGTGATAACGACCTGCTGGCCAGAGTCCAGCGAGACCCTTACTTCGCCCCCGTCCTGGGGCAGCTGGACACCATACTGGACCCCAAGACCTTTATCGGCCGCGCTCCCCAGCAGGTATGACATGAGCCGCCCCCCTTCGTCTTTACTCTAGCTGCCATCCTGACCGCTCCTCTGGCATTACAGGAGTATCTGTACACTAATGAGGTGTAATGTGTCCTCTCGTCCAGGTGACCAGGTTCCTGTCTGAAGAAGTACGCCCCATGCTGGAGCCGTACAGGGCTAAGATGGATGTCAAGATCGAGCTTGAGCTCTGATACACACACACAAACACGCACTGATACGATGACTCGCACACAAGCTGAGGAAAGGAGACTTCATCATGGTGTGTGGCCATGCTGAATGCTCCACCTCAATAAAGAACAATCACTGGATGAATCATCTTAATTGTGGGGTTTTCATTTCTGCCTACTGCATTTTAAATAGTTAAAAAAAAGATGTGATATACTCAAAATCATACTTTAAAAAAAATGAAATATAACTCAAACAGACGGTGATTAATGATATTGTGGTCAAATGATGTGAGTAATGTTTCTATTGACAAACAAACTCAGTAAAAAGGTCCCAAAATGTTCAAACTGTCACTTAACTCGCGTTAGCTGAGAAGCTATGACAAGTTTACCTTTTAGTGGCGCAGCGGGCTGTGTTCATCTGTCACTTTCCTCCTCTTAACTTCCTGGTGGCGGTATCTCTGGGGGGCGGGGACTAATACGGCGCCCAGTCCACTGATTGGATGAAGGACTGATGACGTCTTCTTCAGTTTATTGGCGGACTACAAACCAACGTTTAAGGTGCATACCTCCACCTACTGTAACATCATAACTTTATGACAATTGTCATTTAAACACAATACGGTTATTATTAATAAAGCAAATACTTCATATAGAAGTTATATTCACTATTGTGTATTTTAGTGTATTGCTTTTATATATGATTTTTAATGTAAAGTGTGAGTTTTATGAAAAGCGCTATATAAATAAAATTTATTATTCTGGATATTATTCTGCATAGCGAAAAGCAAACTGCTTATAAAAATACAACACACCCGTCCCTGCTCATGGAGATCCCTCCAAAATGCAATATACATTTCCATAACGGCCACATATACAGCATGACATTATTCCCCGTTTCATTGAGATATATCTATCTATATATCTATATATAACTCCGAAGCCCAACGTGGGGCTTGAACCCACGACCCTGAGATTAAGAGTCTCATGCTCTGCCGTCTGAGCTAGCCGGGCCTGGTACATCAAAGAAAAGGTTGAGAGTTCGAATCCCACCTTGGGTGATAGTCTTTTGTACTGTGGACTTCTGTTCTCAGGGGTGGCCTTCAGTCCTGCAACACACACCTCCACCAACCCATCCCCCACTGTTGACATCAGTGGTCTGGGAGGATGCTGATTGTCGG